CTCCGAGATTAATTACGGGCCGTCATTTTAAAAACAGCAACTCGTAATTACGAAAGTTTGCTGCCCGCTCGGGGGAACGAAGACGCCGGGGAAAAATCGAGAGACCCAACACGAACGCGTACCGGCACACATATAGTTACATAATAAAAGCGTCGAAATCTCGACGCGAGTCTAAGATCTCACGGCTCAGAGGCGTTATATGAAGTCCTTTAAGCCTCGCCGCCGAGTCTTCGGGGCCGCTACCTCCGATCGGAAAGTATTTCTCATTTGGCCTTTGAGGCTGCTCTCAAGATTACCCCCCCATCCACCGATCCCGACCACCCTCCGCCGCCACCCAGGCACACATCCACCGAAGACATCAATAACGCCAACTCGAAACTTTCGCTCTGCTTCGAAGTGTTTCTCCTGCCCTGTCCCCCTTCCCTCCCCCCCCCCCTCTCCGCCCCTGTCCGCTTTCTACCCTCTTTTTTTACATTTTTTATAGCGCACGTCCAATGGCCCGAAAAGCAATGAACTTTACTCGAGAAGTGACAAATGACCGACGCGAACGAAGCACGAAATATGAGGTACAAGGAGCCAAAGGATACGACGGGATCGCGAAGACAATTTTAACCTGTAAAATGTAACCTGGTTATTCTTTAAGCAGATTTCTAAAACTGTGATTTTTAATGCCACGTTGAGAAATAATAATTTGTAACTTGGTAAAAGAAAATATATATTCTAGGGTCTATCGCCTCCCGTACTCGCCACCAGAGGGACTCTCCTCTCGCAAGCGCTCGACCAACTCCTAATATTCCAACTATTGGATTTCCTAACCGTCTCACGTTGTTAAATCATCTCCAGTGACGATTGTATATGTCTAATGTTTTGGCCATGGGTTCTACGAACTCAATGGTGTTTATTATAAAAAGATAGGAGTTCGAACTGCGCTTCACTCTCGCCTTTCTTCTGCGGGTGAAGTCACAGTCTAGTAACAGATCTCTTAGAGAACAGAACTGAACTCTTAGATATACCTTTTACGTATCATTTGATAAAAAGTACATTCTAACAGTAATTATTAATCACACGTCCCATAGCCCTAACTTTTCCAATACCAACATCTAAGGCAGAGTCTACTAGGACCCCACAATATTTATACGTATATTAAATTCTATTGCAATACTCGAACTTAGGCACTGGCCTAGTACGCGTGTATGGATCACTCGAAACGTCGAAAACTTGTAACGGAGAATGTACATACACGTGAACCGGGATAGAAAATCAAAACCGAGCGGAAGTCGTCGGACGTAATAATAGATCGTTTCTCGTACCGTGGCTCCGAGTACTTCGTAAAGATCACCCTAAAAGGATTCCTAGCGTCATCGAAGGGCAGAGTTTTTGAAGAATATCGTTCCGCGAGAGCGCCTGAACAGAGACATCGTTTCACTGAGAGCAAGAGAGGGTAGGGGGTACAAAAGAACACGGAATTTCAGACTGACGCGGGAGAAGTAGATGAAGAAAAGTATTCGAAGCCAGAAACGATGAAGCGACGGTGGTTAAAAGCGGTGCATCAAGTAGATCAAACATTTGTGTTGGTTCCCAGCAAAGGATAAAAATGAGGGGGAGGGGGGAGGGAAAGGGAGAAAGTAAAAAATCTTTTAACCAAATGATACGAGAAAAAAGGAGGGAAATAGGAAAACGACGGGAAAGGTAAAAGGGGAGGCTACGCGATTTTAAAACTCCTCGAGGAAGGAACGGAGATAGCCGTAGAACGTGGGGCTTCGAGGAAACGGAAAATGAAAGGTTCCGCAAATTTGAATGGGCGGTTTTAAACGCTGGTCTACGAACTGCCGCGGCTGACCATCCATAAAACCACCGTCTCGTCTCCGCCAATGCCACCGAAAGCGATCCCCGGCTTCGATCGATTCTAATTAAATGGAAACGCTTTTACCCTACTCGCTCCCACGTCCGCCATATATTTTTAAGCAACGAAACTCGCGTAATTTTAATACGTAAGCGCTCAAATGTCCTTTAACGCGCGCCATGTTTTGTGTTGGCCACTCTGCGCGTTTTTTGTGTGTTTAAGATCGCGTCGCCGCTTGTGGCGACACTTCGGTTTTTCCCCCTTGTATTCGTCAACGCGATCTGGGATTCCACCTATGTATTAATTCTAATGTATCACTCTGGTATTAACTTTAACGATATCGACTATTAATAAGATCGCGGGGAGAGATCTACCGGCGAAAGGTTGCACGCGTTCCATGGATCGATACAATTCTATACGCGTTCTATAACTGATCCAATACATTATTAGAAACGTTTCGAATCGTCGAGAGGAGAAAAAAAAAGAAGGTATACCGACGCGAGGGCTTTTCAGACATTTCGTACGAGGATCCTTTTCACTTTGTATCGTTCTCCTAAGAGCATTACAACCGCTCCAAGCTCTCCGATCGGCAATGATTTCCAAATGGCATTCACGGTTCCCCCGTTTGCACTGAGCCGTAATACCGCAAGTGCGGTCGACTGTAAGTGCAGATTTCCACGAGGACCGGCCTGCCGCAGAAAGCTTCATGTGAAATCGCAGGATACACCCGCACACATCCTCGGGCCTCCATTAAATTAAAAGCGATGCGCGGTCAACTCGCGAATCGCGAACGCACTCGATACAAGGGACAAACTTGTTCCCCACGAAAGAGTCTTTGGGTCTGCGTTAAGGACACACGACGACTAGGGGATTTGCTCTAAAGTCGAGAAAAAAAACAGTACCATTTCTCAGTCGTTTGCGTCAATAGTCACGAACGAAGATATTCTACATAGTTTCCTTTGATATTTTATTCGCTATCGCAGTAAAAACGCCATTTTTGCTGCGCCAAAATCCACTACTTGGAAGTGAAATTGAAAATAAAGAGAATGGTTAACGATTTTCTAATTTGCACCGAATTTTAAACGAAATGTCGTTAACGTTTGCTCGTTACATCGTCCAACAAACAGAAAATGAATTCCGGCTATTATAATTTAAGAAAATATTGAGAATGATTTAATTTGGGAAACTTTGCCAACCACGGTCGCGTCAGTTTCCTCGAACAACATTCCTGCCGAACTTGTTTGTAGAACAAACGCATCGGATACGCGTTGTATAAGTAGGAAACCGTCCTAAATTAACATTAGCATTCCTTTTGCCACCGCCTAAGCGTTTCGCTCTCTCAAGAATGTCTCGGCGGTGGTCCCGGAACTTTGATTTAGTTTTACGGTAAATTTTAAGAGAAAAGACCATTTGAACGGTAGTACAGAACATCTCGGACTTTAAAACTGAACGAATCTTCTTAACTCCGAACTACAAACTTTGTAATTCAGAATTTGCGAACATTGCGATTCGTCGAACTTCGTTCTTTATTCTGGAATTAAATGAACTTTCTTTTCGCCGTGACACAATTTCAAGCAGTTTTTTTTTTTCGTAAACCATTATCAAAATCGCGGAAACTTGCTCAGAATCAGGAGAAACGATCGACGCGAGATACATAAATGAGAGATCGAGTCGAAATAATGCACGAATGGCGACCGTTTGCTGGTTTTGGGGGATGCGATCGTCGCGTCAAGTTATTAGAATTTAAAAGCGTCTCGTTGACGTGACTCCTGCCCTTCTGGCTTTCAACGTCACCGATAACGATCGACATTAATTAAAGTAATCGTCTTAGCGATGGGAGCGCACCGGTTCCTCCGAGGATAAATAATTTATGAAGGCTCGAGAAAGTCGACGAGCAAAGGGTAAAAGACGAAGGACAAAGGGAAGGCCGTCACGGGATACATATTTATTCACCTAACGGGCGTGCATTTTGCTTCTTTTTTTTTTCTTCTTTCGTTTGCATAACGTACGCGAAGTTCATCGGCGTTAAATTTATGCGCGCCACAGCTCGAAGAGAAGCTACAGGTCTACAAAGGGGCGAGGTTTATTGAAATCTCGAAATTATACTGAAACGCTGAAATTGCTGTTCCGTCAACTTTTTTTTTTAGTCCTAACAACGTAAACGGAAAAGAAAAACGAAGAGTTGGCATGGATTATTAAATCTGTGCCGACATACTGTACTGTTCTTTTAATAATACTTTTCTCCCTTTTTTCAAATTAATAGAACGACTGGAATCACGTCAGACGTGGATTATTTTTATTTGAAAAAAAAATACTGCGTATACTTGAAACGACAGTGTGTGGAATCCCAATACAAAGCAGTCTACGGGTTTTCTTTTAAAAAATTACAAAGAACGCCTAAAAATTGCATCTATACCTATATGTAATAAATTGAATGTATGACGCTCGCAAAATCACGTATACGTGACAGCGGCCGTAAAAGTGTTAATACTCAACTGGACAAACCGTTATCGTCTCGCCATCTATGGGGGAAATCACAGTATTTCTATGCATCTTATGGTAGTTGGTATCGCACGAACTGAAGTACCGACTTGGTAAAAAACTAGTGATTTTCGAGCGACCTCTTCGTTCAAAGCACAGTAACCTTGGGAACTACTGCCAATCGAACTACATACCGGTTAATAAAATTAAAAAACGTAGAAAAGTTTATTGTCCCTTAAATGGTGTACCGCGTTGCTGTTACTAACAATTTTATTGAATACCTAAAGAAATAATTTTAAATTCGCAGTCATTAGCTCGATATTACCTACCAAGGGACCTAGAAAATGTCACTGCATTTGACCCATATGCTATACATACAGAATATATCACTACAATTCTATACTACTTCGTTTGGGAGATAAACTGAATACTAATTTTTATAAATAGTTGCATTTATTTATATAGATAAATTATCAATGACTAAATGCAAAAATAAATTTGACTATGTTCATAATTAATGTTCTATATATCCTCTGTGTTGTGATATAAATAAAATGCTTCCAATATTTTTAATAAAATACCGTTTAGTGTTGAATCTAACCGACTGATAAATTTTAGTTCAGAAACTTACATCGCAGATATCTATTGTATAATGTTTTATTGTTATGGTACACTTAAAATAAATTACATTATAACATCAGCCACAACATCTAACATATTATTGTATATTTAATTAGTAATCACCGTTCGACTTGCAAGACTCTGTCTCAATCACACTGTCAACAATAACATGCCCGAACGATCGACGATCGGGTGTGCCAACATAATGTAAGGGTAACTTCTGCATTTTACTGTGTTCGTCCCGCTTCTACATATTGTCTTATAAATTACACAGTAAAATGAATTGGGTTGCGCGTTTACAACGTAACATCGATCATATATAAACGATCCGGTAAGAATATAAAAAGGGTTAGGTCAGAAAAACACAGTTAGATGGTTTTTCTAACTAGTACGCATTCATCACAATCTCCAAATACACCCCAGATGTTATGTTTATCATTCATCTTTTATAATTTATTAACGATATTCGTGTTTGACTAATATCGTAATAAAAGTTCGTGCATCGTTTCAATGCAAGGACTAAATGAAATGCCTCTGTCTGCGACCATGTACACATATATTCCTGAGATATTAAAATATTATTGTACTGAAAATTGATCTTAATAAGTATTGACTCTACATGCTGCAAATTGCGTAACATCGTTTCCATCTATTGGCAGAAAATATTAAAGTAGTCTCGGTGTAAAGCTAAACACACTTTGAGCGCGGGTGACCGCAGCACAGTGTGATGCGATACAGCGCAGGATTTTGTAAACAACATAAAGCAGTTGGTCATCGCACATTAACTACTTTTACAAGATCTAAATTTACATCCAAGTACTAACTTGAGCGTAAAATTTTAGAGCATAAACGTAGCCGTTCATATGCGACTTACTGCGTTCCGTAACAATGTACGATGAGAAACTGTCTAGAAAATTCCGCGTCCTCTGTAACCCTGCACTAAATGTGCACCTAACCTGAGAGCTTCCAAAATGATTTACAGGTAATGCCTGTTTTACAACTGCTCGTATCCTTCATATTGGCGCCAAACTAATCGATCGAACATTAACACAAGAAAATAGTTAACCATTGGAATACGTGATACCAATCGCTGAATATTCTTTTTGTGAATCGTCTATCTTTATCGCGAGTGACCATGTGTATAAGCATTTTGCTTTATAGTATAAATTCCTACAAAGCGCGAGATTCTTGCAACGTGAATGCAAATAACGCCACATATACGTGAATTCAATCGAGTCCACGTGAAAGGAAATGCATAAAGATACTTCCTCATTTTTATCGACCATCTATAGCCATCAGCGTTTCTCAATTCGTAATAGAAGATACTGTTTGCACAGTATATACAGGTTCACTTGATTATTGCATGCTGTTGATGATACTTACGCCTAAGACCTCATATACTCGTATCCGTGTTCACATAAAGGGACGAATGTTTCTTTGACCGATTGCGGTGACGCCCATCGGAGGACATAATGAGGACCACCAGCTTTGTCGTTTGTACCAGACATTCGACTACCACCAAATGGCTGCTGACCAACAACGGACCCAGTCGATTTATCATTCACGTAGAAATTACCAGCCGTGTATTTTAATTCCTCGAGCGCCTTCCTTGCCCAAGCTCTGAAAAAATGAAGATACAATGAAAGAGACTCTATTGAAATATTGTACTGCGAATCAAAACGCTTACTCGTCTTGTGCAAATATTGATCCAGTTAAAGCATAAGGCGTTGAAGATTCTACTAATTTCATTGTTTCATCGAGCTGTGAATCTTTATAGACGTAAATTGTCAACAAAGGTCCAAATATTTCTTCCGTCATTATTTTGTCTTTCGGATCTTTTGTTACTACTATTGTTGGCTCGATGAAATATCCGTTTCTAAAAGAGAGAATATAGTAAAAAATAGCAAACAAGAAATATTTAACGAATTATGCAAAGCGGAACGTACGAATCGTCATATTTTCCACCGCCAATTATTTCTAAATTTGATGATTTTTTGGCGTGCTCGATATATCCAGAAATTCTTTTAAATGCAGTAGCGTCTATGACAGCTCCAGTGAACGTAGTAAAATCTCTAACATCGCCAACCTTAAGCGTGTCACGAATCGCTAAAAGACCTTCTTTTATCTAAAAATAATAATGAAAAGAAGTTTCATTTAGAAATTACTTTCACAAATTCTATCTTATGAACTGCAATCATAACGCATCTGTAAAATATACCTTAGGCCATAAAGACTCTGGGATATACATTCTACTGCAAGCTGAACACTTTTGGCCATTATATTCAAAACAACTCCTTATGGTTCCATTAACAACCGACTCCACATGAGCACTAGCATGTACAAAATGGTAATTTTTGCCACCACATTCGCCTATTAATTTAGGATAGTTTTTATATTTTCCCAAATTTTGACCAACTTGTATCCATAGACGATTAAATGTCGGCACCGATCCAGTAAAATTAATTGCGGACAAATAAGGTGAAGCAGTTATAGTGTCACCGAACACAGGACCTTCGCACGGAATAAAATTGACTACACCTGGTGGTACACCAGCTTCTCTGCATATTTTAAATATCCACCAGTTAGAAAGTAAAGCTGTATCCGATGGTTTCCAAAGAACTCCATTACCCTAAAAATAGGGTAAAATAGGGTAATAGCTATTTTATTTACAATGTGTACGCTAGGCTTGAATTTACAATACCGAAGTTATTTATTTAATTAAATCTTTACGATCAAAATGGCATGGGAAAAAAATACAAACCATTAAGGCAGGTGTATAGCTTAAATTACCACCAATGGCAGTAAAATTGAATGGCGATACTGCAGCAACAAAACCATCCATTCCGCGATATCTCATTGAGTTTAAAGTTTCTTTAGGGTTAGGCGAAATCGGTTGATATTTTAAGGCCTCTTTAAGGAAATATCCATGCATTTTGAAGAAATCAATTAATTCGGCAGCGCTATCAATTTCCGCTTGGATAACTGTTTTGCTTTGTCCAAGCATGGTGGCAGCATTCAATTGTTGCCTGTATTTATTTGCCATAAGGTCAGCTGCCCTTAACCAAATATCTAAACGCGTTTCGATTGGACATTTCTCCCATTCGCGCTGTGCCTTGACAGCAACATCTATTGCTTTTTTGACTAGATCAGGTGTTGCCCAGTAATACTTTGCAATTTTTGCTTTGTGATTATGCGGCTGAAAAATATGTCATAATTAATGTTAACGTGCGCTCTGTCGTTCAAATCATTATTTATTTATCCATTATTATTGTGTAATGACTTACCATGACTTGATATCTACATAAATCAGTTTTAATTTCCTCACCACCGATAACCAATGGTACTTCTTCGCATTCATTAGACATTTTATCTAATGTCTTCTCCAATTCTGCTCTCTCGGGACTACCCTTCAAATAACTAAGAATAGGTTCATTTTGTAGAGGAAAGTCAGCAGGATTTGGTACCGGCACTATCGTTCCCAGACATCTCGTACTGACTCTGTTAATAGAAATATTAATTATGAACATTCTACGTAAGGCAGATATCATAACATCAATATTTAACTGTTCGCATATTTTGCGTTTAAATATTTCCAACTACATTTATGTTTATGTTTACTAATATATAACAGATAGTGAGATTAAACAGAGGCACAAATATTAGCTCTCAAGATCTGTCTTCATATCATCTCTAAATATTTATCTTTGTACTCTGTAGTAAGAGTTAAATCTATAATGTTATCTCCACCTTGAGGTTTCAGGAATTAAGACATTTTCTTCCCACAATAAAATTTCTTTGACACAAAAACGAAATGTTAGTACGTATAATTAAAATAAGTGATAAGAGCAAAAGCAAGAAGTCATAAATTACTATAATAGATGATAACAATAATAAATCTATATAAGTGTAATAGCTAATATAAAATAATTAATATGATAAAAGTACTGCAAAACAAAAATGAGCATAAAACTTTATGTATGTATTTTCATACAACTTTTAATATGCACAAATAATATTTCGATATATTTGATATCTAATCTACAAACTAACATACATTCATATTTAATCAAATATATGTTCACTATGTAATAAAATTAGTACATAGTTATGCTTAAGAAATATTAGATAAGATTTGTTTTCAAATCTTTAGGAAAAAAATTCCGTGCCCTTGTTACTTAAGTGAAAAGAGATATTTATTTTCAGGAGAGAAATACGTTATTTTAAACTTGCTCGCATATGTCAAACCAATACCATGGTCATAGCATTATGTAATGGTATCGCGGCGACCCATGTTATTACAGTTATCGCTACGTTACTAATTACACCAAATAAGATTCGATAACAACAATGATGTAATTATTTCAATCAATCAAATGTGTAGCCTCGTTATCCACGAAGCCGCGAAGTTTACAAAGTCGATGTAAACGGATATATACGGTTCAAATATAGAACTGTTTTGCAAGGGACTCAACGTCTATAATTTATTGTATAAATATCAATCTATTTAATTAATTTTTGAAAAATCCTGGATCGTTTCATTTTTGCCCATTGATCGACACAGAACGTCGCAAAGTATATTCCGCGTTTAACGAAGAGCATAAATTTAAGAACTATGATACATCGTGTATCGATTGGTAAATATTGGGGTCAACACAAAATTCTGTTGTGTAATTTACATATTTACATATAGACGGTAAAATACGTGTACCTTAGCAGATGGTACGTACATAATACATATACTATCCGTATGGAACTACAGAAATATCACGTTTCAAGGACACGCGTGTATATGCACAAAAAAATGTTACTTTGAAATAGGGTTATAAATGTATACAGAAAACTGTCGTATGTTTAAAAATAATTTTCATGAAAATTATTTAACAGGAAAGTCCCATTTATTTTGACTAAATAGATCAAATTTCGATGGAATATCTTTATGATATCATTTTATGCACATTATACAATTATAATGTAATGATATAAATATATACGTTGTTTCCATTGTTTCACTTTCTTTCGTACATGAACATGTTTCTATAGTGATGTATCGAATCACCGAAATCAAAATTATAGCAACATTGTAAAAGGATTTGAAAAAAGAATAAAGAGAATTACGTATAAGTTCCAAAAGTTGGTTCTGTTTGCGACGAGAAGTACAGAAAATAATCGCTGTAATGCTCAGAAATGTACTTCGCAATGCGGTTAACCAATTTTAGATTCGTCGAAATATTGATAGAACGCATGCGGATAACATTAATTAAAATCTGTAAAATTTTCGTAAATCTTCGTAATTATATTTTCTTCTCCATCCAGTACTTGTATTTCACACAAAAATATACATATAATTATGTCAGAAAGGGACTTGTGCTATTTCATCGAAGTGGAGAGAAACGTTTTGGGGTATATTGTATATACACGAGTCACATAATACATTGCCGATAAGATAAACAATCAAACAGTTACAGAATGCGTAAGGTTCGCACGTTTTTTTTGCATCTTGTATACCTCGATATACGTTTTTACATAATCCTGGCAAGTAACACCAAAAACATATACTTTTTTTTTATTACTTGAGAAAACATATAGCAAAGACATTTGTTTAAGAAAGATGAGTGCTATGAAATACATTAGGATAGAATGTATAAAGCTGATTAAAGGTACTCCGAATAGTATATAACATAATAAACGAAATGTCGCGTTGCTAAAGAAGTTGGTCAATGAACTGTCAAAACGACACGTTTCATATCCGTTTTACAGTGGAAAATTCCGACGGAACCGCAAGGTAGCCTATCCCTTTCCTAGACAAGGAAGAACGATACAAGGCACAGGAAATTAGACAAAGAAGACGAACGGAGGACCAATAACACACCAATAAGCTGACGTCTACATACATGCGCGACCCTTCATTTACCTACGGATGTTGTTATACAGTGCTTGTGTCAATGCGCGAAAATAATCAATATACGTTACTAGGATTTGATACACGCGGTAAAACAGATTATTTAACAACTGTAATTTTGTTCTATTCGCGTACGAGGTTCGGATTTTAATACTCACTTTTGACTGTTGGCTATTAACACTTGACGGCAAAGACTCAACATTGTTTTTCCTTTTCGTTCGCTTCTCCGTGTTAACTTTTACATGAACACCTTTTACCTTCGTCGCGCGTGCTTTACAGGTCTATCAGTGTGTTTTACTCACAATAATCACTGTAAAGACCGATCAAGATACCGAATTAATGAAACTACGGCGACCGCGGCTACCATCGAGCAAATAGTGAGCCAAACCTCCCCCCACACGTCCCCACCCTTCGTCAATTCGACTATGAATCAGGGCCGTAACTTAAGTTACACGAAGTAGAGCATTCGACGATTGAAGCCAAGAAAATTGGAAAATTGAATTTAGACAATAAACGCTAGAATGGATAGAAGCGAAAAGGTATTCTAAATGTAATACGAAACGAACGAATTTATTAAAATAAAAAACAAATTAATTAAAAATATTTTCTCTTAAATATTGAATTAGACACGATTTGGTATATGAAAGGCATATTTTATCCAGCCTTACAACTGATTTTCAAATAAGAATTTCATACAATCATAGAATATATTAAAATCGTTAAAGGTATATCAGATGTTTGAGACTTTGTTTATTCTATTGTATAACATTTTTAAAAATCATTCAAAATATATATAAAATAAATTTATATACAGCTATAAAATCATATGTTTAAAGTAATACTTCATGTTTTGTATCGTTAAAATAAATATGTTTATTTTATAAAAAATGAAACATTTAAAAATACCAAAATGGTAGATAAACAAAGTTATTGTACATACATAATAAAAATTACATACATTACGTACTATATCACCTTAACAAACTTTGTGCAAAAAAATAGATTTTAAGGAGATTTTGAAATGAGGCATGTCACTAAATTTATTTTTAGAAAGGTGTAGATTCCAGGTATATTATGTAAGAGTATCTGTTTTTAGACATTAATAATTTATTATGTTTTAGAACCACATAACAGCTTTTGACGTTTTTTTCCATTAGCACAAAATTTTTTAAGGAACTTTTTAAACATATTAAAAAACTCAAGGAATAATTCAATTTGTACAAAGTCAGTTTAATTTAATTTCGTACTAATCTAAAGTTACATAAAGTATTATCAATAAACAAATATCATCAATTATCTTCTTGTTGCATCTGTAACTCGCGTAATAATTGCGCTCTTTGTTTTTCTAACTCATCCTCTGATAGTTCATGGTGCTCAGCGTTTTCAGTTACAGAACCTTCACTGTGAGCCGAAGGTCTTCTATGCTTTTCCTCTTTTCGTTTTTGTTCCGGTGATTCTTCGGAAGATGGAAGCCTTGAATGTGATCGCTGTATAAAAATATTAACGTGCACGCGTTAATAAATTCTAGCTATAAAAGCTTGAAGCAATTTAAAGTGAAAAGGTACACTGGTTATACTTGCACTTACAGAGTGACTGCGCCCCCTCTTCTTCTTATTCTTTTTTCTTTTTGATTTTCTAGTATCAGACTCGGAACTGTCCGATTTACTAGGAATACTTGGCGACCGTGACTTATGACGTTTTTTCTTTATACCTTTATCGCTACCTTCAGATTCCTAGCAAAATAAAATTAAATGTTAAAAATACCTTCACCACAAAACTGTACGATATACTTACACTGTGCGATCGAGATCGTGATTTTCGTTTCACTTTCTTTGTTTTTTTCTTTTTACTTCTAATATGATGGTGACTACAACTTTCTTCGAGTTCGTGCTGATATTCTTTAAAAATCCGAACTCTTTCACTTTCTAACGTGATCGCCTTAAAGTCAGGTTCTTCCTCAATTTTGCTTCGTACATCTTCCCATGTCATTTGATAATCAACATTAAGGGTTTTCAACAAATTTTTGAAACCTGTTTCTAATTTTTTAAATTTCCTAGTTTCCTCCTTCACCCGTTCTTTTTCACGTGCTTCAGCTTTTTCAAGTAGTAAATTGTATGTCAACTTTACATTCCCTGCATCTAATGTTGCCGACTTTCTGTCCTCGCATACAACAGTTGCAAATTCTTCGAAAGTTGTGTTAACTTGCACTTCAAAGTTTTTGTCTTTTAGAATCTCTCTTATAATTTTTTTTTCATCGTGGAATCTAGATTTCAAATCTTCGACGTAAAACTTAAAAAGATCCAGAGGCGTTGATCCAGATTGCCCAAGCATAGCTGAAAATCTTAAGTCGGCAGATAACATTGGATAAAGTTCTACCCAAAGTGACATTGACGTTAATTTTCCTTGTTCGTGAAGTTCATCGAGCAAACTCTAAAAAATAATTATTCACATTATAGAAAACCTACTCCTAAAAATTGAAAATATGGCGCCGCTTCGCTGCGGGTAGGAACCCGGAGAATTTTCATAGTTGGCAGAAAGGGAAAGGGAGAGGGCCTGTTAGTAGACTCATCAGTAAGATTTTCTAGCAGGCCCTGTCTTAGACGATTGGATATTAGGAAGTTGGTCGAGGATTGCATATATAGCAAAGGAGAGGTCAGTCGAGTGCTTGTGAGAGCGCGACCCCTCTGGCGGCGAGCATGGGAGGTTATGCCACAGGAATTTTGCCAAAGACATCAAATATTTATAAAACTTACTATAAAGGCATCCCTATTTTTTCTTTCCTGTCGTTTTCTACGTTTTTTCTCATGTTCCTTCTCCTCCTCTTCATCTTTCTCTAATTGCCGTATGTGATTTTCAAACACAAGTAAGGCATCTTCTTTGTCCATTTCCAATAAATCTGCATCCTCTGCAAAAGCTGCATGTTGTAGAAGCAATGCTTGCGCTTCCTGCCAAGTAGTTCTATATGTAACATCAGTCATAGTATCTAAAACTTGAGCTAATCTCTTGGTATTTCTTTTCTTCAGTTGCTTTGCTTCTTCTTTCTCGCGTTTAGCCAAATTAAAAATAACATCTTCATAAATGTCACGGCGATCTGAATCACCTACTGCTCTCCATACTTCCAAATTACCGAACATTTCTTCGCATTTGTAATATTTTGTTGTACTCGTCATCCTATCATTTTCTAATAAAAACTGTTCCAAATCTTCTTTAGCCTTTTTTAATCTGTTCAAGACAATGCATTAATTTTTTATTTTGATATATTCACTACGGCTCATTATACAGGGATGGCCGAACATCCTGTATAGAATTATACAATGTTACTTACCTCAATCGTTCTTGTTCACGTTCCTCTTTAAGTTTTTGCGTTTTGTATGCATTAAATGCTTGTTTACGTTCATTCAATTTCTTCATTTGCGGATATCTTGGATCGCTTTGAATTAATTTTACTGCTTGTTCCCATGTAGCATTCGATGGTACATCTCGTTCTCTTAATAATTCTTTAAATGCTTCGATTGCCTCCTTTTTGTCTTTAAATTGCATTTTTGGTTCAGGCGTACTGGTGCGGCTATCGTTTGCTGATCCCTTGGCAGAATTACTATCCTCGTCAGGCTTTGCGGGTGGAGTAGGAATGTTTATTGCTGCGAGTGTTGCAGCCATAGCTTGTTCAATCGCAGACTTTCCACCTGGTTCCGGTGTACTAGTTTGAGATGCATTTGTAATTGCAATGTTCGGTGATAAATGTTGAATGGCTACAGGAACTATACTGAAAGACCAGGACATTGGTAATTACAGTTCAATCTCATGATTTGTCCTTTATATATCGTCGAAGCTTATAACCTGTAACTTTTACTAACGTGTTTGTAGCGCTTGCAACAACTGCTGCTGCAGCTGCTGCAGCTTCTTCAGCTGCAATTCTTGCTTTCAGTTCTTCCAATTCTGTAGGAATTGTCCACCTTGATTCCTTGGTTGTTACATTATGATAATATACTTTTCCATTTTCCGATTTATATTCTTTCCAAGGGCATTGCGATAGAAGCAATTCGCTAGGCGTTTTTAGCTCATCCGGTTTTTCCCATAAAGATTGCTTTGTAACACTGTTATAATAATATGTTCTACCATCCGGAGCTTTGTGCTCTGTCCACTCGGTTTTCTTTTCTGCCGTTGTAATAGATTGAATGCCAGATATTTCGCTTGCTATAGGCGCTGGAGGAGGAATACCTGATGCTGTTATTTGAGGAGGCGCGGCTAAAATATAACAAATATCTAAATAAAGCATACTTTTAGAAAGTAATGAATATTCTTTAAATACAAGTATTGACCTATAACTCCAGCATCTGGTGGAGGAGCAGCATTAATTGGAAAACTAAAACCAGGAGGAGGTATAGAAAATTGTGGTGGCATTATACCCGGCGGACCAGGGGGTAGACTAGGAGGAGGTATGAAAGGTGCAGTTGGCATAATAGGTGGCACAAAACTAGAAGCAATATTTGGAGTCGCTGGTGGAAACCCAGGTACTGCAGCAGATGGTGGTATACCATCGTTTGAAGCCTATAACATATTATAACATAAAAATCAAATTTGAAGCATTTAAAATTGTATTATACATAATTCGAAGACTCATAGAAATCGAAAACAATTAAAATATAATCAATTTGTTCATAATTATTAATTTTACCTTACTTATTGTTAGGTATAAAAGAAAGAAGAATTATGAAAGAAAAGCAAAATATAAAAATAGAAGCAATAATCAATTATACTACACCAATCATACCGTTCAATTTCAAAATTATTTCGATAAATTATTAAAAGTTTTAAAGAACACATTATCTGCACAACTGAAGAGTGAGGTTACTACTCGTTACACATTTATGCTACGTTTAGTAATACTATACCATTTTTTTAAGAATAGAAGTTATGCTTTCTTTCGAGTCAAATCATTGAAAATAAAAATAATCTTCTAAATTTCAGTGCTTAATTCTTTGGAATTCAAAGAATATAAACAGCGGCACACTGTTTCACATGTAAACTGTAAACTACCTATATCAGATTGTATTTGATTATACACAAATGCATAAAGGCGTTTGGTATTATGTATATACGGTGATTGTGAAATTCCCATGTATTGTTTCTCCCGTATTGAAAATAGCACCATAAAATTACCGTGAAATAAAATAATTCTATATTTTTACTAATTGTATCTACGTCAAAATACGTTCCAAGAATTGAAATTTTATTGTCACCCTATGTAAGGTATTACGCCTTGTATGCACTTATCTACAGAGGTTCATTTTAGTTTTCAATTTCTTCGCATTTATAATCCGTTCATAATCAACCGTCTAAAATGTAAGTGAAATGAATGAACGAACAAGAAAATTGTATGTGATAAAAGAATGAAATGTACACCGAGTAGTGGATTCAATATATTTTAAGTATAAATTTCTGACACTCCAATAAAATCATATGTGACAACGATCTACTGATATCGACATCAATGGCAATAACTGGCAATAATCGTGCCTACATATGTATATGATTTCCACGCCAAATTTTTAATATCGCACTGTAAACGTCTTCTTCGCGAAGAATTAAAGTAATGGGTATGGTAGCCGATAATTTCTGACAATGCTTTCTTGTACATTGTAGAATAATCCTTCAGATTATGTTTAAACTTGAATTATTGTTAACTTCGATCCCAACCTAATTTCACATAAACACATTTATGGAAATTCATAAAGTTTGATTGAAACGACACGGGTGTTCGTAATATTTTGCAAAAATGTTTAAGAAATTTAAAGACAAGCTTGCGGAAGAAATGAAACAATCGCCTGCCAGATTACAGGCGAGCATGCAGCAATTGGCCCAGGTTTGACATTTCAGATTACTATATGGTTTTTATTTTGTCATTCTCGATCATTTATAATAACATGAAGCCTTTCAAAGTGTAAAACATAGAAAACATTATGTATCATTGTACATGTTGTTTCGTTATATTGGTATAATTAATGATATTTACATATACTATATAAATGTATTAATGAATAATTTAATCTAGGCCGTCACATCTCCAGCTTTATCAAATAGTTCGATACAAGAACTATCTACATCCAATGACAATTTTAGTCTGACGGAGGAAGGAGATGGTAAGTTTCTGTTCTTGCATCTGTTTCCTTGCGATAAAGATAGTTATAGATAAGAATAACTACAACCGGTTTACGTTATGCGCATATAATTAAAGTTGTGCCCTATAAAAACTAATCAATTGGATTAAAATATTGTTTTAATATTTTAAAAATTATAATCGTATAAAAGTATAAATTGCAATATATAATATTATTTAGAATTATCAAATATTAAAAATTTTACTTGCAGAAACACCAAAAAACAGTCCTGCTAAACATGGTTTTCAAAATGTGGATTTGATGTCTCCTACACCAAATTCTACAGGTATTTCTAGGAGGTCATCAAATAGCAGTATTACCAGTGATACTTCGTCGCTTTTTCCAATTTACGAGAGTTCTGCTAATTTATATCATTTGCAGGTAAGGTACTTGAAAAATATTAAACGTATAAAATAATTGAAAATACAATTAAACATAGATTTCTGTTTTATTCGCAGTCTGATATGGATCAATCTGCTAGCGAAATAGATGAAAATATAAATCCACAATTAGATAAAGTTTCAAAAGACCATATATACTCTGCATACAGAAAAATACAAGCAAAATATCATAAATATCGTGGAAGGTACACTGATTTAGCAACACATTATCAAGAGTTAGAGAGAGAAAACAGCAAATTAAAATCAGTTTTAGTAGAAAGTCAGGATAAAGCATTGAGACGAATAACAGATTTGAAAGAACAATGTCAGTTAGAACAGCAGGCAAAAGCTCATTTAGAGGAGGCATTAAGAAATGACATAGAGGAAAAAGGTCACATAATAAACACATTAAATACAAAGGTAATTCTAAAAAGAATTATTTTATAATAGATTTTAATGCTACTTTTGTTTCAGATAAAACTTTTGCAAACAAGTGGACCAAATTCAGATGATGCAACATCAGATGCGAATGATTATAAAGAAAATTTAAAAGATAATCTCATTGACTTTAATGCCGAATCATCTAATAATTCTAATGAAAGTGCATTGTTAACAGAAAATGCACAACTGAAGGATAAACTGAAGAAATTAGAAAATGTTGTTCTCAAATATAAGGAGTCCTTAAAACGAAACAAAGAAAAGTTTACCGAAGTACTAACAGAAAAAAATACATTAGAATCAAATTATGCAGCGCTACAAAATTCCTATACGGAAAAAGAAACAGAATTAAATAACGCGTCTGTAGAAATCAAAAACATAACAGACCAAATGAACATTTTAAAACAACGCGAAGAGGAATCTGCTATATCATTAGCTGAAAATAAACTTTCTATACACAGAGAATTGGAAGACAAAGAAGAACAAATCAAACAACTTCGGTTAGACTTGAAACACATGTCAGAATGTAAGGCCGACTTAAGTGAAACTATTGACAAATATAAAACTGAAGTGGAGAAACTGAAATTACTACATTCTACTCAAAATTTAGATTCGGAGAAACAAGAAGTCATACAAGATATCTCTCGGGGGAAGTCGGAAGCTTTAAAACTTATGCAGCAGGAAATGCAACAGAAATTAATTAATTTGGAAGAGAACATGGGATTGAAATATCACGAAGAGGTTGATCGTAATAAAGAGCTTCTAAAACGATTGGAGAAACTTGAAAAAGAAAATATACCGGAGAAAACTTCAAAAGTAGATAACGATGAAATATTTCAAGATTTGAAGTCTAAATTAGATGGGAAGGAAAGTGAATTAGAAGAAATGAGACATAAGTTAGAGGAATTACAAAAGCTTTCTGAAGAGTATCAAAATGAAAGGGGCAAATTATTTATAGAACTTTCAAACTCCAAACTTAGCTCTACAGAATTAAAGAACGAACAAGATGCACAGAAAATTATTCTAGAAGAAATAAAGAAAGAAGCGCAGACAACAATTGAGAAACTGCAGGCTACTGTGCAAAGTCTTGATAAGGAATTAGAAAATATGAGGAGTGCTTTGGTAGATAGAGATAAAGTATGTGAAAATTATAACATTAAAGTTCATGAGTATGCAGCAATGTTAGAAAAAGCTAAAGAGAAATTATATACGCAGGATTTAGAAATAAAAACTCTTAAAGAAAAGACGCAAGACCATACAGAAATAAAGAAATTAAACGACGAATTAGAAAATAAAAACACTGAATTACTTGGAGTGTACAGTGAACTTGAATCTTGTAAAAGTAGTATCACTGATCTTAGAACCAGACTTCAAACAGATAGCTTTAATAATTACTCACTTCAAGAAGATAAAAATATTTTAATTAAAAATATTCTAAGTTACAAAGATTCTGTACGAGGGTTAAAAGATGACACTATGTATATTAAAAATAATGCAATGAAACTCTTCGCACAGTTTAATACTGAAATTTCTGTTTTGAAGAATGTACTTACTACATCGCTGGAACAGAATGGTAATATTCAAAATGACGAGGTACAAAATTTACAAACTACGTTAAAAGATTTGGAAGAATTTAAACAGAAATACAATGAGCTAAAAACAGAACTAGATGATGTTACATGTCTTAAATCAAACCTAGAAGTAGATTTAGAGACATATAAGGAACAGTTAATACAGATGTCGATAAAACTTGAGCAACAAAATGAACTTGATTTAAAAAATTGTAAACTTATAGCTGAAATTGATAATCTTAATTTTAAATTACAAGATTTATGTAACTTATCAGTAAAAGTAAAATCGTTACAAACAGAATCAGAATCTTTAAAAGAGGAACTCCGCACCGTTAATGCTACGAATCAGTCACTTACCAGTGAAGTATCCAACTTAAAAGTACAACTTGAAACTGCAAATAAAAGTACAAAAGAACTAGAAGAATTTAAGCAAAAGTATATGGAAACTACAGAAACTAATTATAATAAATTGGAAGAACAAACAAACTATTTACAATCGGAAATACAGTCTCTAAAAGGAAATATCTGTGAAAAAGAAATGGAAATAAATACTCTTAGCGAAGCATTGAAGACTAAAGAAAATTGTATAGAAAGTTTAAATGTTGATAATAAAAATCACGTAAAGTTAATTGAAGAACATGAAATACAAATTACCGAACTTACAACCTCAAATAAAACGTTACAAAAAACAATACAAACAAAATTATCTCAATTGAAAAAGTTAAAAACTGTTAAAGACCAACAAGATATAACAATAGAGAAATTAAATGATGAAGTTAATGAAATAAAGACTAGAAATATTGAATTATTGGAACAGTTAAAAATATTGGAAAAAGAAATAGATGTATTGAAATCCGAAAACTGCCAAATAATGACTCTAAAAGATAGTAATTCAACTATAGCGTCAGAGTTGGAACAATTAAAATTAATCCAAAGTGAGATCAACTTGGAAAATAAAAATTTAAAAGATAAAGAGAATGAGTTTTTGAAACATAACCAAAAGTTGTATGAGACTAATGAAACATTGAAACAAGAAGTTTCAAATTATGAGGAACATAATCAGAAATTATTAAATGACAGTATACAATTGAATAAGGAGATCGAATTGCACAGAAATCGTTCGAGTGAACAAAATCAAGATATAGAAAATTTGAAGAGTCAAATAATGATATTAAATACAGAGTTGCAGTCTAAAACTGAAGAACTAACATTAGAAACTGAACAACTGATATTATACAAGAAGGAAGCAGAAGCAATTAAAGAACATCTTACGATAAAAAATAAGGAATTATTTAATGAAATATCTGAATTAAAATTAGCTTTAGAGAATAATAAAAACATAGAAGAGAAAAATGCAGAACTTTTAATAAATTTAGGATTATTGGAACAGAAACTGACAACACTAAAATTATTTGAAGAAGAGAATAACAAATTAAAACTAGAACTTAATATTTTAAACGAAGAAAAAATTAAATTAGAAAAATTATATCTACAAAATAGCGAATTGGTTAGTGAAAATTTTTCTTTCAAGAATAAAATTGCGGAATTAGAAAATGTGGATTCTGTGAATGCAGAACTTCAATCTCATGTAAATAACTTAAAATCTGAAATTTCCAGTTTACAGCAAATAGAGTCTAAGAATATTGAATTAAAAGCTGAACTTGATACATTGAGAGCAACGAACTTTAAATTACTGGTTAAAATAAAAAAAATATCTATAGGTAAAGTTAGAAACATAGAGTTAGTAGCAGAATTAGATGAATTAAAATTTGTAGTAGATGAGAAAGTAGCAGAGTTAAAATTATTGGACTCCAGAAATACAGAATTGTTAAGAGAAATTGAAAGACTAAAATCTTCAACGATAGAAGAAGATACAGAAGTAGAAATATCAAAAAGTAATATTGAATATTTAAAAGAAAATATTACTAAGCTAGAAGTACAAGCAGAGATTCTTAAAGAATCGAATACTGCATTACAAAAAGAAATACAAAATATTCATGCTAATAAGGATCTAGATGAATCCCTTAGCGAAGAAAGTAATAGATTACAAGAAGAAAATACAAAATTGAAGGCACAATTGGACGAGGCATTATTAACATTCCAGGCAAAAGAATCACAAATGCAAATTATCAATAATGAATTAAAAAATCAAACAGATAAATTACGAGAAGAATTAAAAACAAATGAAGAAGAACAAAGTATGAGATTGAAACAATTGGTTAAAGAATTTCAGGCTCAGTTACAGGATAAAGAAGAAGAATTACATGCTGCACTGGAAAAACGGTTTGGTAAATCATAATTTAGTTTAAATTAAAATTATTTCAATTTTGTTTATTTATTATAACATACTACAACTAATATTATACTTTTAATTAGACCACCAGCAAAATTACGTATCAAATCTTATGCAACAATACAAAGAACAATTAAAAGATTTGCAAATAGAATTAGCAGCAAAATCTGAACAAATTGAAAATCTAATTTTAGAAAATAAGAATCTAATGGCCCAAAAAGCAAAGGACATGAATCAATTAATGGAGAAAATTACATTAATGAAAAAGGAACACACAGATGAACTTAGAGAAAGTGAAAAAAAATGGAAGTCAATTATACAACAAAAAACTGACAATCTAGAAGCAAAACACGATGAAGAAATTAATGAATTAACAAAAGAATGGCGTAACGAAAGGAGGGTTAGTTAAAGAAAACTTAAGATGTGTCAATTTTTCTAATTTTATTTAAAATCATCTTTGCTACTATTTTGATGCCTTTTATTTGTGTAATATTTATATTTTACATTCATTTGCTACTTTTATAATTTGATTTGCATTTATATTTCTTTCAGCCTGATATACAAACTGATTTAGTTACCAAGGTAAAAGACTTGCCCTTCGTTATGTTTTATTAAATCCAATCTTATTTCAGTTACATTTTTCTATATTATTTGTTACTGCATGCACAATACATGTTTGTAATTAAATTAAGATAATGTATGTAAATAAGAAATTAGAATTAATCGGAGATAAAATTTTACTTAGGAATTAGAGAGTACTTCGCGAGTTGCAATGGCGGCAGTGCAATCGAATACTGGTTCTTTTCATACCCTTCAACAAACACTGACAGCTCAGAGGCGCGAATTATCAGAACTTAGAAAATTAGTAAAATTAAGAAACGATACATTAGAAGATTCAACAGAAATCGAATACCTTAGAAATATTTTATTTGAGTATATGATGGGAAGAGAAACAATGGTGCTTGCAAGAGTAATTGCTGCAGTTGTTAAATTTGATCAAGAACAGACAACAAAAATACTTAAGAAAGAAGAGGATAAGATGACATTGGTAAAGAAATTTAGCAAGAATATATTAATTTTAGAATATCTTTCAACTGATCGCTTAATTTTTCAGCTTGGTTCTCTGGGTCTCACATAGTGCAAAGTAGTGTATATAATTTAACGCTGTGTAAGTACTTTTGTATATTAGGTTGTAAGTATCTTGTATTTATTCATAAAGCATATAGTTTGAAAGACTTAATATGGTTTAAAAAATTATAAAGTACATAATATGTAGGAAATACGTATGTATAATGTAAAAAGTTTTGCACAGTTTACTGATAGGTATATGATACGGTATGATTAATTTCATGTTTTAGTATATCTCTCATCGTATAAGGATAAGTATGAACTGTTTATTTATAAATATGGTAATTGACTCTTATAATCACTTATAAATTTATTAATGGAATAAATATTTACTGTTACAATTATTGCCTGCAATTTATGCACATGCTCCCTTTAAAATTAAAAAGAATATTTTATAACGTATTACTGTATCAAATTTTATATAATTTTATTTAATTAAAATAACAATCATTACAAACAAAATACTTTTAACATGTGTATAAATTATGGAATTAATATGTTAATAAATAAAATCTAGTTAGTATAATATTATATCATTAATAATTTTTATTCATCGCATTTATACAAAGATGTTAATTCACAGAATTATTACTGAGATACAGAAACAATATTACACTAATTGTTCAGTATTTTCCATTCTTGACTCGAAGAAAAATTTCTTATCAAAAATTGATACTGTTCTTGGCCAGAGGAACATCTTTTCGTTTCCATCAACTGTAAATAACTTTGGGCCAGTTTCTCCTAAAAGCGTTCTCAAAGCAATGTTTCTACTTAATAACTTACTATAAAATTCCTTACCACCTTCGATATACTTAGGATTTAGTTGAGCTAATTGTTCATCAATTTTCATTTCAAATGTATAATTACGCATAACTGCGGATGCACGATACAAAAGAGATCCTAGCATAGTTGCAATAATATGAAATGAATAACGTACCAATTTTTTTCTTTGAGAAATTTTGAATCCTTTATACAATAGGTTATATACAATAATGACTATTCCAATATTAATCAAAGTTTCTACTGCAAGGTTAAGCAACTGATTGCCTTTTACTTTTAAGATTTCTTGAGCTATTGCAAATTTCTTAGCATCATCTGAAAGTATTAGCGAGTTCAAGAAATTTGTTCCAGCTCGTTGACCCCAATCAACAGGTTTGTCCATTAAATATATGTTGTCTTTGTCCACGCTGTTTACATCTGTGTATTGAAAATGCATTGGAATTCCAATCGCTCCACCATACTTTGATGATGTTGATCCAGCATGAAACATATCATAACCGATAACGTTGAAAATTTGTAGTTTCTTTTTTTCCTCTTCTTCTAATTTCAAATCATCCATTACTTCTTGAAATATATTTTTATATTTTCTCTTAACTGGTTCTTCCGTTTTATTCATGCTATTTTAAAAAATCAACCAAATGACAATTATCATGTAACATTAAAAAATGTTTAATGTTTACAAATACTCACCGATATTTAGCTCTAAGTTTTCTATATGTTTCTAAACCAATAGAGTGTGGCACTGTAGTTGCGCCAAGTACAATGGTAGTTGTACCAAGTATTGCAATGTGCTTTATAGTCATTGTTGAATAATTGTTTTTCTACAAAATCTAAAATTGAAAAATTTGATACAATTAATGACATCAAACAATGAAAATGATATTATAACTGCAGTAATAAACAACATATAAAGATTTATTCATAATCTGTAGTTATTAAATACAAGTTCCAATTACTAGAACGGATGGGCTAATTTTATGTAAAGGTTACAAATATAACCTATAATTGCTTAATAGATAAAACATTATCGGTTTTTATATAATAATATGCAGAATATAATTATAATATTGTCAATGTAATTGGATGTTTAATATAAAAATACAGTATTTCAGATATTAAATTCTAAGAAGTGATAATATTCAAATATGTTTTTCAGAGGTGTTACGATAATAATGATTATCGAAAACGTTTTTAATATTTTGAGAAATAATATTATTGAAGGAACAGATCTAACAAATTTTCTTTTAGATTTTTTCATCATTGTAAAGTATTACCGCAAACAAAAACAGATATAGAGAGCATGTGTATTATATCCGTGTTATTATTTCTACTCCCTAATTCACAGAGAAATTAATGTATTTTTTGGGGGGATTCTATTCATGCATCCAGAGATGTATATACATACACAATTGTCAGAGATCCGGGACTTGTTCCAAAGGATCAAGACTAAGTTAGTGTTACCACATCGGATACCGGAGGCACAGAGAATGCGCAAACTCTTTTTCCACACTATATCCGATCACGTATATGTGAGCTCGTAAAGTTTCGGAGGTTCTTCTCAATAAAGCGTTTTCGAATACAAGTTATTGTAACAGAAGTTTGGTCCCGATCTTTTAAGATAACTTATTGAATCTTCCGTGATCTCGCTTATACTATGATCACGTAACAAACAAAACGCACAAGGATCCTATTATTTAAATACAATTTGAAAATGGCGGGCTTTCCTTGCCATCTTGAAACGTTTTAGATTAGTTTAGAACTTCACAACGATCTACTCGGTGCAGAAGTCTGTGATTCGGCGTTTGAATCGTGTATATATATATATATATGTGTGTGCGTGTTTATATATACATATGTATACTTCTTATGTCGTACTTAAGATGGCTGTGGATTATTAAAGTGTAAAATTAAGATTTAGTCACGCGGTTTTTGTGCAAAGAAATTATAATTTTTTTCATTTCGTAAATTTCTCTTCGAAGCGTTGGTTCTTACTTTTTTACTTTTTTTTTTTTTGACATTCTCTATGTTGTGTTTATCCACAATACTATTCGGTCATTTCTATGTCAGCACTGTAGTTGGACAACCGTGATTGGAGCATGCGCTGATATTCGTTTCTTTAGCCATTCTGACTCTTGGGGTCGGCGGTAATCATTGTTCGTGATTAGTTACATTACTGTATTCAGTTATAATGGTATAATTTTTCTGGAATTATACGATATATTTATCAAGTGCGTGTATTAATATTGTATTTGGAATGCGTGGAACATCCAGACGGACTCTGCACGTAACGTTTATTCGCTTCACCGATTGATCGATCGAGAAACTTGCTAACCGTGGTTTTTACTTGCTCACAAGAGCTACGAAATTATAGCTGTGTATATATATGTGTATCTATATGTACATATACACATATATGGTGTCGCGTTTCGTTGGTTCACGGTATATCCAACACTGGATACAAACATTCTTCAGTGGAATGATAGGTGTGCCACTAAATCAGGTATGAATGAGATACTATATTAGCAAAATATACCGAGACTTTACGTATACTCTACACTGAAATACCGAACATCTGGATAGTTGTATAAACATAGATACATTTTCTAAACAGATTTTTCAAATTTGATGAATAATCTATACACATAAGTGGTTTTGAATAACGTTCAGAAGGAGACGATACAAATTTCAATGTTATACCGCGAAATTCTGTTTCATGGCAGACATGTCGACATAATGGCGTCAATGTTCCCTTCGACTATAGATAACTGGATCCTACATTCCCTGTATGTCGCAATAAAACATTAAGCGAGCCACGTGACCCGCTTGAATCACGTGGTACGTTCTAAATGCCGGGTCTGAATCTCTGCCCTCAAAAATTTTTTTCTTCAATTTAAAATAAAATATAGCGATGTCTACGACGGTGAAATAATTCTTGTAAATAATATATCTAACCATTATATTTGTCCATGATACAGTTGCAGTAATAGTTTTAACAATAGTAGCTTTGTATGTTTCACAAGTGAAAGTTGTATTTTCTGCGTTGAAACATCAAACGTAATCTATCAATTCGGTTTAAACTCCTATAACATTTCGAAGAATTTTGGCATTTAACTTCTACACAAATTGTTATTTGCTACTTGTAACAAGTTTGCATCCTGAATTTTATTTTAGGATTATTACATTACAACTGTGTAACCTTGAATTATATGCACATCATGCTTAAAGAAGAACCAGTAACGATTATACAAAACATTGTTAAATGAGCAAATTTTCATAAATAATATTTTGAATAGTTAGTAAATTTGGTAAAATAAATATTTGTTAATTTTTAATATATTTCTAACGTATAGAAATACATATCTTATTTTATTCATTAATTTATTTTCAAATTTAATCTTTTTAAGAATGTTTTATAACTGTTCTTTTTTATATAGTTTTATTACATTATTTAAATGGGATATATATTATCCTTTCAGACAAATGTGCGCTAGCACTGACAACATATCAACACATTCGTCGCAGTTAAACTGCTGAAGGAGAAGACGCAGCCCTCAAAATTTACTGGGTGTAGTTTTAGTCATCTCGCGTAAAATGGCAGAGGAGTGCAACGATGTTAAGTCGGCAGGTCCGTCTTCACCACGAAGTCCACAGAATAACAGTGCAGGGGGGAAACCAAGCAGTCCACAATCCCCTAGACAACCAAGGCGTTTGAAGCTATCGCAACAACAATTGGACAGCATGACAAAGGACGAGCTAGCAGCCAAGTGGCTTGAACAGGACTTGTATGTGGAGTGTCTAGAGGCCCAGGCGGCAGCCCAGGAAGGTACTGAGATCACATGAGTGAGACCATCTCACTCACCACATTTCTTAAGCGAATTTACGAATGCCAGAACACAACGGTCTCTCATAAGAGACAAGACTCTTATAGGGACGCTAAGAATAGGGACCAAGCGTTTTATTTGTACAGTGTTTAGGATAATAATGACACTAAGTTTCTTATATGCCTTGAGATTGAAATAATCTTGAGTAAGTAAATAGCGTAATAATATGGGTGACATTCTTAAGAACATTTCTTATGACATTGATAAGCGAACGTCAATTGTAGAAAAATTTATGTATCCATATAAGTATTGGATAGAGCAATTTGGTAATATACTTTTTAGATGCAGGTTAGTGATATACTAATATTGTATTAATTTCCAAAACTACATTTGTGATGTGTAGTGCGGGTAATTAAATTAACGCCAATATGTACAGTGTTTGAAATTTTATCGGTGAGCAGAAGTGGTGTGACGGTTACGTATACCGCATATATGAGAGAGTCTAATACATTATTACGCAAATAATGCAAAATTCTATCGCCTGGTGTTGAGTTGCGCTACCACTGATATTAAAAATTACTTAATACTAAAAGCAAAGTGTATATTGGGAAAAAAAAAAAGTGAAATTGTGTGACAAGAAGAGACGACAAAGTTTCTTTGAACGTGTTCACTATGAATCATTCCTTTTGCCACAATAAACACACACAGCTTACTTTTAATACGATCTCGTAAGTGACTGTGCAGTGTGCGCGTATCTTTCTACAGTGTAGCAAACCACACTGCCAGAAGCAGGACAGTGCGTGCGTGTATGTGTGTACATGGGATATCGAGTTTCTGCTTTGCGAGGATTAAATGAAATGCAACATCCTTGCTGGCTCTGAATATACAACTCAGGAGAGTTAAAACAGAGGCCCTATGTCATCCTTTGGCCTACAAAACACTGTGCCAGGGGTGCGTGAACCTAAGTCTTGGTGAAGTACGAAACCTTTAATTGATGCAGTTACCATCTGAAATTCCAGCTGCTTTCTCCAATCCTAACAATTCTTATCCCAATCTATATATCTTTAATATTATCTTATATTTAGATATGTCTGATGAAACTGAACAACTTTACTTATGTTCCTAGACATCCATTCCTGTCTATTCCCCTTATGAACGCAATTCATGCATGCATTTGTACCTGCACCATAATGTCCTGATGTCCAAATACCAATCTGAAAAATACGAACCTGATTGAATAAGGCCGGGAGTCATCTTGTGACAGCATCTGTGTCTGCAACAAGTAGTCTGTCTATTCTTGTGGAAGAAAATTAACATCCACTCTTGGTCTCGGTGGAAGCACAGAGAATCTCACAAATGGCACGATGCAACGACTCCAAACTCAAAGTATGCGCTAATTAAAAATGTCAGGCAGTCAATGTCACATACCTATAAAAACATATTTTGTTTATGCGCACTTAGGGCAAAAGAGTATGTAGTAGATTTTCACCACTATGCTTTATTTCACCAAAAACATAAAAATATGAAGTATTAAAAAAATGTGCAGAGTATTCTGTGCCATTATATTATATATGTACATATACTGTAAGGTTTCAAGCTCTCTGTGTGTTTCATACATTTGTATAGTAGTTTTTTTAACTATCTTGACAAATTTATCATTCGAATGAACATTAATTTTGTTTCACATAATTTGTTTAATCTGCAAAAAAATGTGACTGGAATTGTACGGAGCGAAAGAAATAACTGAAATAATTATATAAATGTTAAATCTTAAATCCTATTTTAAACATGTAGTTTAATTATAATATATGAATGATTTGATGAAAATCTATAATTCTATATAGCTATACAATATAGATGGAATTATAGTATTTTTACATCCTAATACATTACTTGATAAATTTAATAAGTTGATATATCAATTTATTAAATATTATTATTGATATATTAAGTTAGTAACTCTAGTTAATATGTTATCATTTTCTTTTACATAATATTGTATTTAATATCTTGAATTAATTACATTTAAGTATTTAAAACAGATACTTTTATTATAAAGGTACAATATACATTTCTAAAATATTAAATCGGTTTTATCTAAAAATAAGTGCATTTATTATGATGTCATTTTCGTTTATATTTTGTTGACATGAAATTAAAGTATAATGAAATACATGATTAATTATTAGTTACACTATCACTTTATATGTTATTTGTGTATAAGTAGGGAATATTTTTTTTATGTAATTGTTATAGTAAATCGGGAAATATTTATATCAAAGTCTTCGACATTAACATATTAAATTCTATGAGTTAGTATTACATCTATAATATTCTTTTACAAGTTTGGAAACTTGTGTTTCATACATTTGTATCTAATTGATTGTAATAAGTATGCAACAAATTGATGAAGCACATAGACAGCTTTAAACAGTTAAGTTTTAATTAAAAGAAAAAATGACACAATATTCCTTTTGTAGGTGAACTAACTTCATTGAGAGAATCAGAAAACAAATACAGGCAGCAACATGCAGAAGCATCTCATAGAGAGAAAATTTTAGTCAGGAGACTTGCCTCTAAAGAACAGGAACTACAGGAATATATTGTATGTAGATATATTATTCTGTAATAAAGAAAATTTAAATTTATCAAAAATTTTTAATAAGTGTAAGCTTTAATTCGTATCTGTTTTAGAATCAAATTGCTGAAATGAAAGCTGCTCATGCTCCGTCCGCTGCCGCATTAAGATCCGCTTTGTTAGATCCAGCTGTCAATATTTTAATCCAGAAATTGCGACAAGAACTTGTCACGACTAAAGCTAAATTAGAAGACACCCAAAATGAACTTAGTGCGTGGAAATTTACACCAGACAGGTAGATAATACTCTTTGTGTTTGATTAGAAACAAGTAAATTATACATTTTAGCCTGTAAGTAACTTTACGTATTATTATTATTTCCAGTAATACGGGAAAAAGGTTAATGGCAAAATGCAGATTATTATATCAAGAGAATGAAGAATTAGGTCGTATGATTGCCAGTGGTCGAATTGCCAAATTGGAAGGTGATCTTGCGCTTCAGAGAAGTTTCAGCGAGGAAATGAAGAAATCGCAGTCAGGTATTATTTCTTTGTACTTCTCTCAAATTAATCAATGTTAAATATGTTACAAAATAAATTGATTATAATCTTTTCTTCTTTTTTTTTAATACTTTTTTTATAGAATTGGATGAATTTTTACAAGATTTGGACGAAGATGTGGAAGGGATGCAGAGTACAATTTATTTCTTGCAACAAGAGTTGCGTAAAGCACGCGAGTCAGTAACGTTATTACAGCAAGAAAATGCAGCACTGAAGGCGAATTCCAGTGAAAATAACTTAACAAATGGTTTGTCACCGCATACACCGCCAATTAAGAAAGAGGAACTGGATGAAAACTCAGTTTCGGAAACAAAGACTTCGAAGTCGACGGAGGATAGTGATATGTGCAAAGGTGCTAGGACTCCACCGTTATCATCGGGACGGTCGCCTCAGTGTGAGTTCTCAAGTACTGAAAGAACAGAACGTGTAGAACGAAAACCTAATCAAGCGGACCATAACGATGAAAGCTCTAGTGATTCGGCTGCTTTGATTATCAAAGTTGAGAATGAGGAATTGAGTGATAGGGAAGAAGAACATGAAGAAAGTCGAAATAATAAGAGGATATTAAGGAGCAAAAGTCATAATAGAAATAACAGTAAAACTAATGGGGAGGAGGTGCTATCTAGAACAACGAGGGGTAGGGATAGGACCAAAAGGGACAAAAGTGCTCCAGGTAGTGATGATGAAAGGACACACAAGAAAAAGAGAAGAGAGAGCATCCTTTCTCTTGATTATAACGAAGCTGATGATGATGCATTAGTTCTCACTAATGGCGAGACGCTTCAAAGCGATCCAGAATGAACAATTTTCTAGAATGATTTTATACTCACATTTGTTACATAAGAATAAGGCTTGACGTGACTTTGTATACAGTACAAGCTAAGTCTAACGTTCTGTATTTCTTTGATTATTTAAAAATTATAATATGGATATACAAAAATGAAACTTACTTTCAACAATTTTGTATTATTTTTCACGATACGTATCTGTAAATATGTTTCTAATTCGAGTATTTATAAGTCACGTTAATCCCCCAAAAAAACTAAACATGAATTACATATAATAATATGTACACAAAATAATGCGGCGTTTGAATAAAGGGATAGATAGTTGAAACTATTTTTTTTTTTTTTTTTTTTGCAAATGAATCGCATTGAAATTTCTAATAAGCATGCGTTATTGTGTAAACAAGTGCATTAATGTTTTTAAACGGCTCATTGTAAATTTGTTGCAACATCGATAGTAATTCTTCTTGTTAGATTTTTTGAGAGAATCACAAAGGACATGATTAACAATAAAAACAATAATTAAGGCTACGCCTTCCATTATGTAAATACACGAATGTTAATAATATCGGATATACGACGACGCACATACGTAGATTTATACACGATTTGTGCGCAATAATTTGTATGTATGTATTGTTTTTTCCATTGTGAGAAACGTGTGTAGTCATGCGTTGCTCGTGCATAAAATGTGCTTTTAATTGTGTATAATAAAATTGAGGTCTATTTGTTAGATTTATTAAATACCTGTAAATTATGCAAAATACAAGACAGCATTAATGTCAGTAAAATATGCGGACTGACCTCGTACATGACAAAACATCACATTTGTATCTTCAACTTCATTTTAAGGACAAGTGTACAAAATATTTACATTACTATTTTGTATTATTCCTTATATAAAACACGTATTTTCATATCATTTCTCTTATAAAAGCTAATTTCCGTTCGTTTTATAATTTCGGCATATAATTATTATGTATGTAAATATATTTCGTATTGAGAATATCATTTTTTTTTTTTTAAATATAATTAACAATTAAAACATAAGTAGTATATAATTCAATTCAAATATATCTTTCATATAAACTGATTGCTACTGTTGTACAGTGTGATTCATTAAAAATCTCGTTATGGAATCCAAATTTGATTATTTAAAATAATCATAGAGCACCGAATAAAGTCCCGTTTCTTTATTTATTTTAATTGATTTTGTAGCCGTGGGATTTGTATATTAACAAGAATTAAAATAACACGTTATGAACAATGATGAATTTGTAGCAATTGAAATATTAATCAAAAAGTTTGTTTTCGTTGGTAATTTATTCGGGGCATTTTACTCGCTAAAATAAATCAGAAATTTTTATACAAAAATCAATCGTTTTTCTATTGTGAGATGTTTTGGTTGAAAATTTCTGTTATGCATAATTTTTCAAGTAAATTTGATAAATACTTTAAAAAATTAATTTATGTTAAACCATAGTGTATAAAATGAGTTAGAGTGTTGTATTGACAGGAAAAAAAAACTTTACTTAAAATATAATTATTTGTCGCTACAGAACTAATTATGACGTAACCGGTGGCGTTGGCGCATTTGGTACTCGAGTTTCGAGTACGAGCCACTTTCCAACCTCACTGGGATTGCAATAGTTGTGCCGGTTCGCGATAGAACGGCGAACGACGTACACTCGTAGCTCACAACTTTCTGACTAGATTTTGTATAAAACAATCATATTCATTAAAGTTACAACAATGTTTGCGACAAGACGTGGTTTATTATCCAGTACTATGTAAGTTTCGCTTGCTTTTTATTTGTAAAAGGTACACAATTAATATTATATAATTTCCAACCTATAATTTGTTTTCACGCTTTTACTATTAAATATTTTATTTACAGCGAATTTATATTTGCTTTCAATATATGCGTACGTTCATGCAAAAACACACAATTGCGATGTAAAGAATGGTTAGGAGAAATTCTCGAAATTCAAAATCAGTGACGTTATAACGTAACGTTACTTTGTACAGTACATTAAATATATATTTCAATCGGTATAATCGTTTATATAATTAAATTGCACCTTCGGTACAAAATTTTGTTCGTAATAATCATTTTTTTTTTATTAAAAATTTGTCAGTTGCATTTCGTAGTGCATACTCGACGTATCTGTCAAGTTCGAATAATTTTAATTTGTATTAAAAGATATTATTTCTTAAAATAAACGCTATGTTATGTATAATACAAATTTTTTAAATTGTTTAAATTAAATGTCGATATAAAAATGCACGTTAATCTAATTCGACCTCTGGCACGCAGATATATTTATTTATTAGATAAGCACCTTGTCAATTTGATATTTGAATATATCGATGTTTTCGTGGCCAAAATTTATAAAAAAAAAAATATGTTCAATTGCACACCGAATTTTTATCTCAAAGAAGTAAACACATTTTATGTTGTAAATAAGATAACACTTATAATCTCTGCAAATTAAACTAAAGGATACTTAAGTAGATATTAAAAATAAGTTTGAAAATAATTTAGTAAATTTTCAAAGTATCTTTACAATATCACATGTGTAAAACGTATGATTTTAATTTATTATATTTATTGTAATTATTATACTTTATTATCTTTATGTTATTACATAATAGATGTTTGGATCATTTTATTTCTTGGACTTTAGAATTTAAATAATTCAAAAATACGGATCGTATAAAATTAATTATTAAAAAAAAACTCGATTGATCCAAAAACAAGTAGAGCCAAATCATTAATATTTAAAAATATATTACAAATAAAACATGAATATCTGTCTTTTATGTTACGCAGCAAAGATGCATTTACAAGATCGAAACATACACTTCCTGAATTACCCTACGATTACAAGGCTTTAGAGCCGATCATATGTGCAGAAATCATGCAACTTCATCATTCAAAACATCATGCAACTTATGTAAATAATTTGAATGTTGCCGAGGAGAAGATGAAGGAAGCTGCAGCCAAAGGTGATGTCAATACTCAAATTGCACTGGGTCCGGCAATGAAATTTAACGGAGGCGGTCATCTGAATCATTCGATTTTCTGGTGTAATCTGTCACCGAATGGTGGTAAACCAGATGGTAAATATGTTTTGTAGTAGATAATTTCTCAGAGTAAGATATTTATATTTCTCTTAATCAGTGAAACAGATACACCATGATTGTGAAATGTTTTTCATTTTGCAGCTACACTCGTTAAACAGATTGAAAAAGATTTTGGAAGCCTGGAAGAGATGAAAAAGCGCCTATCTGAAAGCACCGTCGCAGTACAGGGATCTGGTTGGGGTTGGCTCGGGTATTGTAAACAGGCGAAATCATTAAAGATAGCTACATGCAGTAATCAGGATCCCTTGCAAGCTACAACTGGACTGGTACCACTTTTGGGCATTGATGTTTGGGAACATGCTTACTATTTGCAATATAAAAATGTTCGACCCGATTACGTTAAGGCAATCTTCGACATTGTTAATTGGAATGATGTTAGTGGTCGTTTCAAGAGTGCCGCTGGATGCTAAAATTAATGGTTACGATTAGTCATCGCGTCGAAGAGTACGTTATCATTGAAATTGATAACTTAGTACGAATTATTTGTAAGATAAATAATTTCGTATTATTTTTTGTTTTAATTGTCTTATAAAGGCATTCGCAATTTTGTATACACATATTTCATATGTATTGTACTCGTCATATGTAATAATGAACTTATATAAACAAATTTTATCGTCGTTATTTTACATTATAAGTAAAGAACCATTCACAATTTAGTATTGTTCTTTGCATATAAATACTGTTTAATGTTTCAAATAGTTTTTTTTAAACATAAAACATTCATCAACGACGTTTCTTTCATATTAATATATCATATTAATATAAAGAATATTCTCCATTATTTTACTTTAATCTTTGTTTAATAACTTCCTATGTATTACGCGCATATGCAATTCTACTACGGGATCTTTAGTTTTAAGGCGTTTAAATGTAACCCTTTCACTGCAAATGACTCCGACGCAAGCGCACGATATGTGCAGAAAATTTCCATGCGTTGAACGCATAAACGACCGAGCAACCAGAATTACCACTTTCCAGTTTGTGCATTAATGATAAAATATTTTTATTCGTTATTCGTGGATAAAATTTGTCGAACTCTGGGATGGGTTTCATACGATTACTATCTTTTATTGACTTTGATAATTCAGTTGAATATGGTTCCTAAAGTCACAGTCTCTAAACGTGTAGCGTTACGGAACCAGTGATTTTAAACGATGTCGGTATTGCAGTTAACGGGACACAAACTCCTACTAGATGTTCAGTCTACGTTACGCCTCGATGGCGGTTTTGCATTTGGCGCGATCGAAACGCTGAAATGTTACGACTGTGCACGTTGGGAACAGACATCAGCGCCACACGGTTAGTAAGCTGCACGAGCGAGTGCTGAGAAAGAAGAAAAAGATGCCTAACCTCCCGCGTTAATAATCGATCGGTTAGAGTCGAGTTGGCTCGTGTCGCGACGCGTACACGCTGTGTCTTGAGGAACGTCGCGGAACAAGAACCAGTATGGCCGGAGGACCTCAGCTGTTTTCACGTCACTGCCTACGTATCTGGTGAGTCAAATGTATTCTTGTCACTTTAAGTACTCGGGCTAAATGGCATGTTCATTATTATCGCACGTTTGCCGGGAGTATCTCTATAGCCGTTATAAGTTTGTTTGTGCATACGTAATACGTCATGTATCGCGAGGCCCCCGGGTGTGAAATGTACGTCAGAAATTATACGTTCTCCTCTTGTTTGAATATCTTGGCTATACAGTAGATGCGTGCGGCAATAATCAGACACTTTTTAAACTCCTTTAGCGATGTGTTATTCTATTTTTGTCGGTGTCTTTCTGTCGCTACTGTTAGATCTATGTTACACAGTGACAATTCAAATAAATATTGGGAGGGACTGTCATAAAAATTTCCAACAATTTTAAACAACGATTGATGCATTGTTACTTTAAATTTTGTTCGCGCTTTGAACGATGTTACTCATAATTAACATTTCTGTCAAACTATTTTCATTGATGGTATACTTAAATTTTTCCTTAGAAACACGCAAATAGCATTTTCTATGATATCAAGACGAATGTTTAAAAAGGTTTGATGTATATGTATTTTTAAAGTTAATTAGTGTACATTCGCTCGAATATCGAGCAGTATGTCGACGAATGTCATTCTCATCAATAAATTCTGAAACTAATTAATCGGAAGATACGTCCGCAACATGTTTCGAATGATTCATAACGTTAGTACATTGCCAGACGTGTTAATTATGATCGAAGGTGGCGCTTTCGCCCTAGTCAACGTGCATCGAATCGACTCGTTTTTGCCACAAGGTTCTTTTTTCTGTTAGTAAAAAAAGAATGCTGCCTCGTGGTATACTTTTACACGAACACATCCGACTCCAGGGATCGTTACCGAAGAAGTGTAACACACTTCCAGGGGAGAATTTTTTCGAAATTAGAGTATACAGATGCAACTTCACGGAAGACTGATACTGAAAAGATTGCGAGGTGTAAATTAAACCTTTTTGCTGAATTAAGTTTGCCAGAGACGTGTTTTATGAGATCGACCATCGAGCATCTAAATGTGAATGTTACTCGACGATCGAAGTATTAGAAAATTCAGAATTTTCTTTTTAAACTAGAGGAATTATAAAAATATTTTTTAATTAAAAGAGAAATTAAAGTTCCGTGTATTTAAAAATTCAGAAAGGTTCGACAACTAAACATTTATGTATTTGGAAAATAAATATAGGTAAAATAATTAAAAAATCGTACAATTACAATTCAAATAAAATATTTTTATTTTTCTATTTATATAAATGGGCCAATAGGAATTATTGTTGCGAACCAGTAGGGATTATAGTATCATAGAAGGGATAAAGAGTAGAGTGTCTGCTGATTGGTTTGGTGTCATATTACCACTTTTTATCACGTGCGAATACTTTTTCACACGTGTACCTTTTTCATTTAATTATTTGCAAATCGATTCCTATGAGAAATTTAACGTTGAACAATATACGTATAAAATATTTAATTATTTATTTCTCGCGATAGAAAATAGAACTGAAAGCTCGGTGTATCGTGATTCGTAGAGTCGAATTATAATTTTACGTGTAAAAAAATCATAAACCTCGGTACTAGAATTTATTATTCTTTTATGATAGAAGGCAGATGTCCCAGTCATGTTTCCAGAACGGCGCCTCATAAAATATGAACATATGTCAATGGTATTAGGTACATTTGTACAGCCTATAGTATCAAATTACGGAGATATTCTTCAAAGAATATTAAAATTTTATTTCAATCTTTAAAACGTAAACTTTTCAAACATGTATCGTTTAAAGCGTGTGGAGAAATCGCCTTTACTATCCTACAAAAAAAAATTATATCTGCTTTTGCCCGAACACGTTATAGCGAATTTTGACAATTTCCAGCGACAATGGTGGTAGCAATATTTCTGAACCCACTGCCGCGTCGTAGCAAGTGGCCCGTCTTCGGGAGGATGCGGTCGCAGCATCCGATTAAATTCTTGAGCAATACCAAAGGATATCGAAATATTCCGTATGGTTGGAATAAAAATACGTAGATGTTATTTGCCGACATCGTGGATATCTTTCCTTATTGATTGCTCCGTAGAAATTGGCCGGCGCCGCCCGCGTCGCATCGGTCGATTGTCGGGTTGCAGGCTGACGTCATCCGTGGCTCTACGCCTATTGATTTTCTCCTCTAGGCGCGATGCGATTGGTCCATAAACGGAGAAAGCGGGCATACACGACCCTGGACCACGATGTCGATCGGCGCGCGCACCCGACACCGCCAACCATGGGTCGCCATATTGTTTTCGACCACCTACCACCGCGCACTACCGGTTTCGATTCTATTCCACTTTCGAGGGCGAATTCCTGCCGAGCGACCGTGTGCGCATATCTTGGCTACTTCAGATCGATCATCTGAATATTTTCCAACACGGATCGCCAGTCATATGTTTCTATACCTTTTTCCCTAGGATCGGTTTCTAAACCTAATTTGTTACATTTCTCTCATTCAGCGCTATTTCGTACGAACTCCGATTTCGAGACAATGATGGCGACGAAAGTGATACAATCGTCTGACAATTTTCGAGTCAAATTACATTTTATTCGCTGGTGCCTTTGATAAATCATCTTTGAGAAAAAAGTGATATGCAATTGACAAATTAAAATTGCCTTTCGTGAAGCTTATTTCTGTGGTCGATGTTGTACAAAATTTTGAATAGGATCCAATTCTCAAATAGAACATTTCATTCTTTTTCTATCAAGAAGACAAACGTATCGATGTATTCTGATTTTGCACTGGAGTATGTATGCATTAGTTTGATCACTTAAAACTGATCCAAACGCGACATGCTATGTCAATGATTCCTCGAAACCTAACCCTGCGTGTAAGTAGTGATAATCAGGATATTATGTTTACGATCAATTTATCATAATTATACTGGAGCTGTGCCCCCTCCGTTAGAGATGTGGAATTGCATAGTAGAGAATTAGGGCAATTGGAGTGGAAAAAATGTGACGCCGCGGTTTTAATGTTGTTTATTTCGTTATTAATCCGCATTGATGATTATCTTATAGCATCCACAGTACTGCGCGAATTAGTCCGAACACAGGATGTTGCATTAGAAAAATACGTTTCCAAGCGCACAATTCAGTGACCCATATATATCCTACCGAACAAAACAATTAATAAATAAACGAAGTAAATATCAGAGTAGTAAAAACGATAACCGTATGATAAAAACACTTGAATTATCTAGAATTGTAAAGGTAAAGATGAGACAAATTACACACGAGTGGTTTCTTTAAAATGGAACATATCTAAAAATTGAACACGATCTCCGATGAATATCAAATCACTTTTATTATCGGCAGAAGTACGTCTTATCAGCTATCTCGATCCGAAATAAAGGTGCCTCTGTGTCTACATCCACAAACCTCGATGCCAGATATTGCTTTGGCAGCGATTGTTCTCAAGGTTGAACTTTACGAAAGTCACACACGTTACCCTTAAAGTCACGTTTATTGTTAAAACATGCTATCGTGGAGATTATGGCTCCCAAAGAGAATTTCTTCGCCAAACGGAGCAGAAACTTAATGTTCGGTTGATAAAAGCGTGGGTTTAAGGGTGTTGACGTGTACGTTTTGACGTCATCGATGTGCGCGCGCGCGACTCTTTTACCAAGAATTTTCGTTACTAAGAAATGCTTCTGAAATCTACGTATTTCCATTTAAACGATAACTATGCTTCCTATTATTAATTAAAGTCCCATGAAAAATTTAATCTGGGCATTTTAACGAATTAACGTGCATCGATGAAAAGGAATTTTATTAAAACTTGCTCTACGTTCAAGTAAATTTCCATTTAGTTGTGCGTTGAACAGAACAAAAATTACTAGTATTAAATAAACCGTACTGATGAATCCATTAATAACCCAATACGAACCATAATCATTTGTTTACGTAACATCTACTCTGTAACAATGTAGATTATTAATAAGTTTGGATATGAGTATAAATAATCGTGTACAAGCTCCGTTACGTTACATTAATTTGTGATCGACATAACGGTGGTTATAAAATTATTTTTCAATTTGATATTCAAAATATTAGCAATGCGGTGCAATGAGATATACATTGAACATTGTTTGACGATATCGGCAGATTCCCTTTAATAACGTTGCTACAATCTGCTGTATAAACAGGCATTATAGGTTTACTAACGTAGGTGGGTGTCGACCTTTTTTTTTTCCTCAACGACTCCTATATCTGTCTCATCTGGGGGGTGGTTTCGGGGTAGTAAATAGTCGGATAGAAACCTTTCACCTACTCGGACATTGAACATATATTTTGTAAACATGTTTCGTCACTTGAAACATATGGCTAGTAAAAATCCCCATAACTGAATAATTTCTGTTTTAACCAAGCAATTGCTTCATTGAAATTATTCAAAGTATCGTGACACGAGGCAGATTAAATATTTCATTGGCACAGGAACGATGTCGTAATTTTATTTTCTGACTAGTTAAATTTACGGTTACATCTTCCCCCTCCCCCGATAATCGATCGAATCGTTCCTTCGAGACATGTGGAAACATAAGTTAAAACGTGTCTCTAGGATACGCGAACTATTCGTCGAACGGGCGCTCGCAATGAAAAAGAAAAATTCAATTCACGTTGCGCGATATTTTATGCTTACGATCGGTGGCTGTCTGGATATACTTTTTACGGTCGAGCTACTCGATGAACTAGAGGAATAATAAAATTCGAGGACAGCGAAGACGATCCCAAGAAAAGGGCTAATGGTGTTTACTCGACGTCATTCAACAGCTATAGTTGATCTGGCGGTAACATAAACTTTCTGCTACGAACAATCTTATTTCAATAAACTTGAAACGAGCACGCGATGTGTACCTTGAAGGTAAAAAAGAAGACATTGAAAGGAATCGAACGAAATTAGTCATCGATGTTTCCCGAGCGAAAGGAGCGTTTGTGCTCGAGTTTAACGTAAACCAAGTAGTATTGGTCA